CTAGCCAAATTTCATAATTAGCGTTGCATGGTCTTCGGCGGCTACTGTACTCTAACTCCTGACACTAAACATCGTAGAAAAAGCCCTTATGTTCGATTTTGTTATCATCTCGATTGTCGCACAAGCCACCAACAGTGCTACATGTGGAGTTCTAGAGGCCTGGGGATGTGTTAAACTTGCGCACGGATACCTAAGCACCGCGGGGCGGAGCTAAATGGCAAGACTTAGCTACAGGACTGGCGAACGTTGCAAGAGCAGCTAGAAATGTGACCACTAGAACACTAGACCTAGCTGACTGACTAATTCCCTCATTAAGTTGTTCAGTTGGTTTATATTTTAATATCTCAGAATGCATACCGTGCAAACGCTCAAACCCGGTCTGCGTAGTGCTTCAGACCACAATTCTAGCAGCAAGCGTTCCGGAAATGTATATTTTCTTAGCTTTCTACAATTCCCCTTTTCTTTCATGAAGTCCGCAAATATAACAAGGTAGAATGCTACAGGTACGTCACTGATTGTTCTTTTCAAGCGTTCCAATTCCTGGCAAAGGGCTAATGTTTTGGACGCCTTGTGTACTAATGAATCTTTGGGTGACTCGGGATTTAATAGTTACCAATCAGCAATTTAAAGGTTTGAAACATTTCTTTGGCAAACATATTTTCGGCAATTCGTCATCGCTCCTGCACAACTGCAGTGATTATGAAAATATGGGAGTTGGAAAGGATTTATAAATGTCTTTTGATTAAAACTCATCCAAATTGAGCCGAATGTTCTTATCCCAGGAACGTGCATATTTTGAGAAGAAGAATAATTAATGAACACTGAACGCCAACCCTGACTAATACGCTACTTTTCCCTTCTTCTAGTCCAATGTCCTCTTCATCCCGATTTCGTCAATACGGAGGGCGAGAAATGGGTGAGTTTTATTTTGAGAAGAAGAATTATCGAACACTGGAATTATTATTTTATTAGCCTGAGCTGTTTTGTGCACACGCCAGAACTAGCTTTCTCATTTGCTGCTTTTCCCTACTCTGATGATGGGCTCCTGCAGGAGCCCGAAAGCTCAGGATAATAAAATATTAATTCCAGTGTTCGATAATTCTTCTTAAAATAAAACTCACCAATTTCTCGCCATCCGTACTGACGAAATCGGGATGTAGAGGACATTGGACTAGAAGAAGGGAAGAGTAGCGTATTAGTCCCGGTTGGCGTACGGGGAATGTACATAATTGTTACGTGCACGGAGTTAGCTTCTGTCATTAGAGGATGGGTGCGATATGCGATCGCCAAAAACGTATGTTTGCCAAACTAACTTTTCAAAGTAAATAAAGGAATTTTGCAAAATTCAGAGATTCTTAAGTTCGTTCAGAAGGCTGATATTGCCGTGAAATCAGGCATTCAGTCAGCTACGTAATTTGCATTCCTCTTAAATGTCTCTTATCTGCACTTTGGCATCCACTGAGCCGGTGTTAATTTAATACCTTCATCCTCCTACGGAATTCATCTATATTATATGCATTCATTGCGTTACAAAATAACCTTTACCGGAATATCATCACACAAAGAACAGGTATTGACTGCCCCTAAGGAAATTGAAAGGAATCAGTAATTTACTCTTTTCCCCATTCCCTTTTTTGTGTATTTCCTCTGTGCCTTCTTTTTTTTACTAGTTTTGTCATGGCCGCCATTTCTCCGGATGTTGTGGTGCCAAATATGCTGCGCCTGCAAGAGGCCGGTCGGGGAGTAAATCATGGCATTCCCACAATGGCAATGACTGCATGCAGCATGGATGACCTGGTGACCATGACAGGCTTTGGGTTGGCCTTTATGTTTGCGTTCTCGAACTGGAATATAAATGATGGTTGCCGGGCGCCGAGCATCTTAATGCTGCGTGCCATAGGTGGTGGTGTCGTTGGTGGTTTCCTGGGTTTTATTCTCTGGTTCATTCCACCTCCAGGCATGGTAAGTCTTCGCGGTGAAGTGTAATTTATCTGTCACTGAACCTGTGCTCATGTTTGGCTTAAGCAAACAGACTGTACGATGAGGTGGAGGACTGCAAGTGCCCCCTTGGTGTTACTGTCGAAACCAGCCGAGAGTCGAAAATGAAGAGTTATTACAACCTGGGACCGTCTCTTCTTGTCCAGCTGACTTACTCCAATTGCATGCAATGCAAAAATCTGCGTTTTCATATGATGCTCTTATTAGGGCATGGATGTCCTATAGGCAATATATAGCTTATTCGTCTGTTACAATTAAACGTTGAATTTTACGAAAAAGAGAGCAAGATTAACCAGACGTAGTCAAACGCGCACAACTGGGTTGCATATGTACAATAGGGGTAAAATTCCTAATGCATGCCGACATATGCGAAAGATGGATACTCACTTGCTAACCGGCATTACGGAAGGTTGTTATACTGATATCATGTAGTCTATTTTGAAGTCATTTAAGTCAGCATAGGATGCCGGCTTTTCAATTAGCTGCTATTTGACCGCTTACAAAGGGTTGGTTCTGTAAAAATTAGCAACATAAAAAGTACGCATTTTGTCATTGATTTTGGCTGCCTTTATAAATGCAGTATGTATTTTATGGGAAGCATAAACATCAAAAATATATTAATTGTACGCATTTGATGGAAAAGTACGCTTTCTTCATATTTTATACTTAAACGCAGGGTATCTTTTGGTTTTAAAATGTTTGTCTAATTATGAGCTTTTTTACGATTGTGAGGTGGTCATTCATAATACGTCGTATCTGTCAATTTATTAATGCAGCCTATAACTTATGCAGCATGATCCACATCCATTGCAACATTTTATGGGAATTATGTGTATTCTTCCTCAAACCCTAAGTTAAAATGTATTTTTTCCGAAACAGGATGTAAACAGCGTGCAGTTTCTAAACCTTGAATTCAAGTGAGTCAGTAGGTTTAAAAATTGTTCGGCAATTTAAAAAACTTTTAAAACCGAAGGATACCATTTATTTAAGTGCATACTTTAAAGAAGGCGTACGTTTCTACCAAACGAGTACAAGAAGTAGTTTTTTTCGTTTATGCTTTCCACAAAATATATTTGAAATTTGAAATTTTTGCATCCCAACATATTAATCATGAGAATAAGAATTTCTTTAGGAAATTAGGGGCATAAGCAGGATTCCCGGCCTGGGAAGACAGCTTCGGTCAATGACG